TATCCAAAATATTTTCCACCTTTTAGTAGTTTTGATCCCTCTTTAAATATGTGTGTATGAGAGAAAAGAAAGAGAGAGGAACTGATGGACTCTCTGGCAGGCTAAACCCTTTGCCTGGCTTGGGAAGGCAGGAAACATCACATCAGACGGAAACGCAGGGGCTCCGTTCCATGGATTTCAGGAGGTGTGAGTCAGAGCCCCAAAGGTGGGTGAGTACCTGTCAAACAAATGAGAAATCAGCAGCGGGCAGTCCAGGCGTGGAGAAAAGTCCCGTCACTCCTTCTACCTGCCCTCTGGCTCTCCCTTTTTCAAATAAAAAGTTCCCTCTTGGGTCTTGGTTAACTAAAATTCTGCATGATCATATGTGTTTTATTCTTTTACCCACCTTTCCCTCCATCTAGGACAAGAAAACAAAGACCAGCACATTCTATTTCCCTGGTAATAAGCACATTTTTTTCCTAATTGTCTAAAGTTCCTTTTCCTTAAAATTCTTACTGGTGCTTTAAAAATATTTGTGTGGACGACTCCTCTGCCTACCAAAGCAGCTGCCTACTCTGAGTGGAGCCCTCGTTCCCTCCCTCTGACCTTCTCTTTTGGCAATTCTCCTTTCTGCCCTTTCTCCTGTTCCAAAAGGCACTGGCACTCTGCTTTTCCTTTTCCCCTTCTCTCTAAGAGCTCCTATTCTGTTCTAGAAATTCAATGATCATGTTCTTTCAGATGGATAGTTTCCCCATCTCTAGCTTAAGCATCGTTCCCAACCTCTCGCTGGAGAGTTCCTCTTAGAGGTAAGGAGAAAAAAATCAGATTCAAACTCACAAACACGCCATATTTTCTCCCATCAAACTGAGCAAGCTGTTTCAACACCGTCCCACAGGCCACTGTGATGATGGACACGCTCTGTATCTATTTGTGGCAACTGAGCATTGAAGTCTAGCTGATGTGAGTGAGAAATTGAATCTTTAATTCATTGAATTTTATGATTAAAAACTGACCAGTGTAAACATTTTTTCATTAAACAGAACTTTATTGTTTTGGTAAGATTGCATTTTAATTTAACTGCTGAAAATTTATCTGGATCAAGATGAACTTGGTATTAAAGAGTCTCATTAATAATTTTTGTAATAGTTATATATTTAAACAATAATACTTTGAATATATTTGGTAACATGAAATATATCATTATAATTAGTTTCACCTTAATCTTTTTACTTTTGATATTGTATCTCCAAGATAATTTGAAGTTACACATGTGACTCACATGTTTCTGTTGGACCATGCTGGTCAATGTAATGTACTTCAAAATACTGCCTCATAAACAGTGGGACATGTGTGTGTTTGTGCAGATGAATTGTCCACTATCTGTGAGTCCACACAACTGTGAGTGCTCAGGGCTCCTTCATCACGAGTCTTCACCCCAGGGGGTTGCATTAGAATCAGAAGCTCCTAATTAGCCAAGTAGCAGATGAGGTCATGTCTATCATTATTGAAACCTACACCAGAAAGTTTAATTAGCACAAGAGTTGATAGAACTTAATTTTGTTTGTGAAAATAGTATAAAGGTTTGGTTGGAGGAAGGCTGCACAGACTCTGCCACCCTAGGCCAGGCCAGCCAGGAGCTGCAGGCCTGGGCAGTGCTCGAGGGTCAGCGGCACTGGCCTCGTCTCCTGCCTGGAGGGAGGCTCCTGTCCTGAGTCAGGCCTGCACGAGGTCAGTCTGGTCTTTCCACTCTTGAACCGCCTTTTTAAGTAGCCAGCTGGAGAACAGTGAGCTGAGAGGGGAGACCACAGGACGGCAGATCTTGCTGGTTAACAATTAATGCTTGTTAATAATTTCATGAATGTTTGGAAGAGTTTGATTTGAGGCTTGTTTTTACAACTGGATGATGAGTCGGGAGGGAGGGAAGACTCTGGAGCCCCCTCCTAGCTTTGATTCCCGGAGGTCACTGATACTGGCCCAGAGAACTGGACTTGTGCTGGGAGTCACTGCACTGCCCCACGAGGCTGGGACAGCTGAGTGCGTCACAGTGCGTCAGCTGCTACCAGAGCCACATGTTTTTCTTTCTCCCTTTCCCTCCTGTCCTCTCAGCCCACTTCTCTTCTCAATCCACTTTCTCTCTCTTTCCTTTCTTTATCACAAGCCACCTTTTCTCCCTAACTTCATCATCTCTGTTAATGGGACCATCCTTTTTCTTACTACCCAAATTTAAAATTGTTTTGACTCTACCTCCACTTTCCATTCTCATCTTTCTGATATTAAAACAATCCCCAAGATTGCACACTAATCAAAGACTTGCCAACAGAAAAAAGGTCCAAAGGAGATGACATACACTTTTCAGTAGGTAAATGAATAAACTGTGATACATCCAGACCATGGAATATCATTCACAGCTAGAAAGAAATGAGCTATGAAACTATGAAAGGATATGGAGGGAACTTACATGCATGTTACCAAGCGAGAGAAGCCAGTCTGAAAGGTCAAACACTATATGATTCCAGCTACAGGACATTCTGGAAAAACAAAGCTATAGAGGCAGAAAAAGATCAGCATTTGCCAGGGACTAAGGGGGAAACGGGTAAATAGACAGAGCATAGATGACTCTTAGGGCGGTAAACCTACTCCATATGATACTCTGATGGCGGATACATCTGCCCGTATCACAGAATGCACAGCCCCAAGAGTGAACCCTCTGTGATGATGACGCCACTGTAGGCTCACCAGTTTTAACAAATGTACCATCTGGTGGGAGATGTTAATTGTAGGGGAGGCTGTGCACATGTGGGAACAGAGTATATGGGAAATCTCACCTTCTGCTCAATTTTTATGTGAACCTAAAACTTCCCTAAAAATAAAGTATTTTATAAAATTTCAGCACCCTTTTATGATAAAAAAAATCAACAAAATAGAAAGAAGCAACCTCAACACAATAAAGGCGCATATGACAATCCCACAATCTACATCATACCCAGTGGTAAGAGAGAAAAAGTTTCTCGGTTAAGATCAGGGACAAGACAAGGATGCCCACTTTTCTTTTACTCAACATAGTTCTGGAAGTTCTAGCCAGAGCAGTTAGACAAGAAGAAGACATAAGATTCATCCAGACTGGAAAGTCAAAAGTAAAATTATCTCTGTTTGCAGACAACATGATCTTCTATGTAGATTACTCTAATGATTGCTCATATACTCACAGTTATTTGAACTAATAAACAAATTCAGCAGTTGCAGAATACAAAATCAGTATCCAAAAATCATTTGCATTTTTATATGCTAACAAGGAACAATCTGAAAAAGAAATTAACAAAACAATTCTATTTACAATAGCATCAAATATAACAAAATACTTAGAAAGACACTTGATTGAAGAGGTGAGAGAGTTATACACTGATAACTTCCATACACTGATGAAAGAAATTAAAACAGACACAAATAAGTGGAAATACATGTATATTAATAGAAAGGAAGACTTGATATTGTTAAGATGTCAATCCTACCCCTGAACAATCTATACCTTCAAAGAAATCTCTAGCAAAATCCCCCATGATAACTCTACAGAAATAGGAATTTCCATCTAAAATGTATATCTCAATGAATAGCCAAAATAACCTTGAGAAGAAGAAAAGGTTGGAGGTCTCATATTTCCTGATTTCAAATTGACTATACACATATAGTGATTAAAACAGGATGGTCCTGGTATAAGAAAGACATACAGATTAATGAATAGAACCTGGGAATAAACTTTTACATATATGGTCAGATGATTTTTGACAAGGGTACCAAGACCATTCAATTGAGAAAAGAGTCTTTTCAACAGATGGTTAACACAGCACAAGGATGCCCGAGACGCTGGGAAACCTAGATATCCACATGCAAAAGAATGAAGATGGACGCTTACTTCATACCATCTACAAACATAACTCAAAATGTATATGAGACCTAAACTTAAGAGCTAAAACCATACAACTCTTAGAAGAAAATGTAGCATAAAAGTTCATGGCGTTGGCATGATTCCTTGGATATGACATCCAGAGCATGAGAAACAAAAGAAAAAGAAGACAAATCAGTGCATCAAAGGGGACTTGCAACAAAGTGAAAGGTGATTCATGGAATGAGAGAAGATATTACAAATCATATACATGAAAATGGTTAATATCCAGGATATATAAAGAGCTCCTATAACTCAACACCCCTCAAAAGAATCTATCAAAAATGGGGTAAAATATTTAAATAGTCATTACTCCAAAGAAAATATATAAATGGCCAATAATCACATAAAAAGATGCTCAACATCACCAATCAGTAGGGAAATTCAAATGAAAACTACACCCACTAGGATGGGTGCTATTTTTTAAAACTTAAAAAAAAAGAACAGAGTAACAGGTGTTAGTGAGGATGTGGAGGAAACTAAAACTGTGGCCACTGCTGTGGGACTGTAAACTGGTGCAGCTACTGTGGGAAACAGGGTGGTGCATCCTAAATAAGTTAAAAATAGTTACCAAATGACCCAGCAATTCCACTTCTGGGTATACACCTGAAGGAATTGAAGCAGGGACTTGGACAGATATTTGCACACTCATGTTCCTAGCAGCACTGTTCACAGCAGCCAAAAGACAGAAATGAGCCAAATATCCATTGACAGATGGACAAACAAAATGTGGTCTGTACATAGAAAGGGATGCTATATAGCCCTAAAAAAGGAAAGAAATTGTGACACATGAGCATCAAGGATAAACCTTGAGGACATCATGTTTTGTGAAATAAGCCAGCCACAAAAGGGCAAATACTCTACAATCCTACATATATGAGGTGCCTAGAGTTATCACGTCCATAGAGACAGAAAGTAGAGTGATGATTGCCACGGGCTGGGGCGGAGATGAGAATTAATGCTTAGTGGGTACCAATGGGGACGATGAAAACATTCTGCAGGGGACTGGTGAAGACGTGGACACAGCAACTTGAATGTGCTCAATGTCACTGAACTGTACACTTAAAAATGGTCAAGATAGTAAATTTTATGTCAGATATATTTTACCACAATAAAATAAACCCTCCAAATTCAGCCAGATTTCTTTTCTCCCCAGAGTGTTTCTTGTATCCGTCACGTTCTGGCCAGTACTGCAGACACTGAAGTCCCAATTCTGCCAAAATGGTTTCCTAAAAGGGCAAGTTCTTTACCCGTCACCGAGAGGGGATGGGCAAAGCAGGGCTGGGACTCTTCCCGTGGGAGGTCCTGCCAGTTGTCGAAAGCAGCCGCAACTTGAGAGGCAGGGTGCAGGCTGGGCTCCTCGGGTGGGCGTGCACGCAGTGTCTTGCTGTGAGCAGCCAGCAGCCCCGGAAGCCCCTGTCGGACCTCCCGCTGACAAGCTACTCTGTCTGTGCTAGGTGAATATTTGCTGAATCAAGGATCACAAGACCAGAGCGCTCAGAGGACCCGTGAGACCTTCCATCCAGCAGTTCCCAAAGGCTGCCCTGAGGATGACACTGCTGGCTGCAGCAGGTCCTCCTGGAGGGTGCATTACAAATGCAGGTTCCCAGGCCTACTGCCCAACGATCTGAGAACCTATGCACAGTTTGAACTCCCCAGGTGTTCCTGATGGGCAATCAGGTGGGAGAAGTGCTGACTACACCAAGGAATGATGGGCAGAGCCCACGGACAGTAACTGGCAACAAGGTTGGAGGACATGAGTCTGAGTCTAACGGAGCTCGACGGCCTACCCATAGCACACAGAGGGTCGGGCCAGCTAGGGCCTCACCATCCCCTCCAGGGCCCAAGCAGAGAGCGAGACCAGTCGCACGGCACGTCTAAGGACCAGCGAGGTGAGCAGGGCACTCGAGCCCCACTAGGAGCCCTTTGATCACTGGGGTTTCATTTGGTTGGCTGGGTTTTTGGTTTTTTTCAGTGTCAGAGTGAGTAAACGTTTCTGTGAATTCCATTTTTGCAAAGCAACCTTACAATCATATAGGACAGGATCATGTGCAAGCTCTGGGGGGGAAAGCCCTGAAACAGAGATGGGATTTAGGCTTGGGAGCCTGGCGGCAGAGCCCGGAACCTTAGGGTTTGACAGTGGTGACCAGGCTTTAAGCCCTTGAGACACGGCAGTGAAGGAGGCTCTCCCCGTGGCTCTCATAGACCACCTGGCTGGAAACCCACAGACGAGTGCCAGGAATCACTCCACGGAGGGCTTGCTGGGTCCGCCAGGAGCCCCTCACCTGGGCAGCCCCTAGCGGGGCACCTCCGAGGAAGACGCCCCCTCACCCTGCCCCAGGCCCCAACCTTTATCACATGTTGGGTCTGACAGCTTCCCTTTGCTTTCAAGGCGGATGCAAAACTCCTGAAAACCAGTATTTTAATTTTGTCAAAGTAATGTCACCCCATGATTTTCTATGTGCAAATGAGCTTAAGATGAAAAGCTAGTCTTCCCCAAGAGCAGGTTGTTACGTCCCAGTTCTTCTGGTGTCTATCCTTATGATTTATCTAGTCATGAGCTGACACCATTTTAACTGTATTTGTTGATATTAGACAATATCTTTCCATTTCTGGTATGAAAGGTGGCCCACATAGGCATAACCTCACCTGTAGTATTTGATAGTTATATTTCAGTACCTCTAGAGGCTATCTTTAACTCAAACTACTGTGTGTGGACATGGGAGATACAGATTCTTAATTTAATTCTATATCCTGAATTCTCATGGCTTATGAGGAGGCTTGGGCATTAGCTTCGGCAAGAACAGCTGATGTGCCTGGAAAAGTAAAGAAGGTAGAAAATGGACTGAATCAGCTTTTTTGTCCCTGAAAGGGAGTGTTATATCTGCAATGAATTTATTGTTTAATGTTTCCAAAATAGGTGTCAATGTTGGACATTTGTGGTTGATCTCCAAATAAGCTAATTGGGGAAGTGGAAATTTGGCTGAGTCAGCAGACACTGCGGTAGGAGACCCAAAAATGACTCTAAATGGAAGCATTTCGGGAGAAAGCAGCCATTGTCCATGCCTGGGAACCATTGAGGAAGGCAAACAGGACACATGTCAAGTTGGCCAAGTCTACAGAGACCATTTTCAAAGGAGCAGTGGTAAACATTGCCCAGAACTGCCAGAATCAGAAGTATTGAGAACATTGTGACCAGTGTGAGAAAACTGTCAAAGGCAGCACAAGCCCAGATGGTCTGTACAGAAGCAGCTCCAGGGCAAAGGGCCAGGGTGGAAACAAACGGAGTGGTTGGCATGGAAGGTTTCTGGCATCTCGCAGGATGGCTCCACCTGTCACTTACTCCTTAATTTGTTGTGCAATAATGCTCCCACCAGAGAGCAGGAAGGTCACTCCGACGGGAGCGTGGGGGCAGAGGATGCACATGCTGTAAGCCGGTGGTTAAATGGTCCTGTGAGAGGCCACACAGCACTGCACATGTCCCTCGTGAAAACTTGACACAGACTGTTTCCAAGAAGAGAAGGGATGGCAGGGTGCTGAATGCAGGGCCAGAGTCTCCCGGCTGCAAGGTCAGGAGAGGAGGACAGGAACCTCAGCTCCTCGGCACTTTGAGTTTGAAGTTCAGGAGGCTGAATTTGGATTTCAGAACCTTTCAGAAAGAAAAGCACATTTGAGTCTCCAGAATGAATTGTCCAGAGCTCTGATCCCCAAAGAATCAGACTGAAAGTCCGAACTCAAAGCCAAACAGCAAGTGTGATCCTGTGACTGGGCCCACCCCCCACCAGGGGACCTGACAGAGGGCGGCGGGGCGGTGGAAACCTCCCTGTTCCTCTGCCTTCTCCAAACATCTCCCAGGCCCGTGGCTCAGACCGGGTCACGTGCCCCTTAGTTTAGCTGCCACCTCCGTAGTGATGAGCTTTGTCGGATCAAACATGGCCCCTGGACATTTTTCCCGCAGTCAAGAAAAAAAGAAGCACCCCAGGTATCATTTGTTGAGTGCCTAGTTCTGCCAGGCATTCTGCCAATGCCTATGTCCTTTATCTTGTTCATTTCATGACATCCTCTTGAGGGGGACACCAAAGAATTCTAATTTTATGGCTGTGGAAACAGAAGCTCACATAAAGTAAAAATGTGCCCCAGGTACAGCAAACAGTAAGAGGTACAAAGGAGCCCTGGACTGAGGAATGTCCAAGACTCCTCAACGCTGCTTTAACTCTGCGTCATCACCTTCCCTGGTTCCTATAAACTACAACATACCATACAGATCACCTGACCCTGAAGCCTGTGTAAGTGAATATGAAGATGGAGCAGCTCCTCTGCAGTCAACCCTTACTCCCAGCCTCCACAGTCCCCGTGCGTTCCATGGTGGGCGCCCCAGATCCCCGCTTACTCTTCTGGGCAAGCGCTTGCCTGCATCTAAAAGATAACTTGTACTTCTCAGGAAGACAACCTCCTTGAAGAATAAAAATAAGAGTTCAAAAAAGAGTGAAAGAACAAATCTCATACTTCCAAATGAGGAAGAGCTTGCACAGCGGGATGCCTGAGATACTAACCATTCCTTAGGTAGGAGTGGCTATTCCAGGAAAGGTTCCCTAAAACCTGGGATCAAGCCCAGGCCACCTGCCCTGAAGTCGGGATCTGAGCACAGAGCACAGAGGCCAAGCCCAGCACAGAGGGCTCTGACCGCAAGTTAGGGGCTGGCAGGGACCAGCCCCACAGAGCAGGCAATACCTAGGCCCAGAATGTGCCCTGGCATTTTACTCCATTTCTGGCCAAGGTCAAGTGAGCACCTTCTGGCCTCTGCTTCACCACCAGCCCTGTGCCTCCACCAGCCCTGTGCCTCCTTCCCAGCCAGTACAGTAGGAGAGAGAATCAAAAGCAGTCAACATGTTTTGGAAAATGCTCCATGAACAGTGCTGAGAAAGCCAGCTGTGTATCTGGGGCTGAGCGGGGGCTAAGCATTCGATCCCTACCTCACACCCCACATGCACTCAAACTCCAGCTAGATCACAAAACTAAAGGTGAAAAGCAAAGAAAATAACATGGTTAGAGGGAAATACAGGCGATTATAGAAAATGAATTTAAAAACAAAAGCAGAAAAGCACAAACCCTCAACAAAATTGATACATTGATCCACCTTTAATTTCATCTGCATAATAAAAGAAATAATTAGCACCGTGGTCCCTAATAAAGCTGAAGGAGGGGCTATCATAACTGAGCAATCTGCCTTCGTAGGCCCACCCTGGAGAAATTCACACTTGCATGTGGAGACCAGGGTGAGGGTGCTTCTTGCAGGCCTGGATTTAATAGGAAAAGAGTGGCTCAACCCTGTGCCACCCCAGAGGGAATGGTTTCACTAACTGTGTGGTCTGTTACTACAATGTTCTAAGGAATAAAGCAGAAGTGGTGCCAGTGGGGGAACAAGACAGCAAGTGCCAGCATCTGGGGGACTGCCACTGGTATGACGTGAGGTGCAGGAGCCCTGCGTCCCGGATGGACATGATTGCTTCTGCTGTCAACTGTCTGCCTCACCTGTAGCTCCCTGGAGGAACCTCTGCTGGTATTCTCTGATTGTTGGAAGGCATGCTTCCAGAAATGCATCCCCTAGTCTTTGGTTCTAGGGAACAAGGCCCATTTCAGTGAGCAGTTACTGAGGCCTTCCTGTGCAACTCATATGGGGTGCTCTGTGCCAGCAATGTGAAAGTGAGCACAAGAGAAGCCCAGCCACCCCCAGGAGACAGGTCAGCAACAGCCCACAGCTCAGCCTAGACATGGATGTCCCCACCCAGTCAGCACAGATTTAGAAAAGCAGGACATTGGAGGATGAGAAGGAGTCCCTGGAGAAAAGGCATCCCAGATGCCAGATGGAATCTAAGTTCTATTCCTTCAAGTTTGACTATTTTGGATTCCACATAAAGGTGGAATCAAGCCACATTTGTCGTTCTGAGTCTGGCTCCTGTCATCTACCACAGTGCCCTCCAGGTCTGTCTGCACTGGCGCAGACATGTCCTGAGATACCCCTCCTGGGATGGCGCATCACTGCCCACCTGGCAGCCTGACAGTGCGGAGTTCCAATTCATGGCAAACAATACGTCCCTACTTGACAACATCCTGCCAGGAGAGAGTTGTTGCCTGGTGGGTGACGATGAACAGTGACCGTGGAATCTTGACCCAAAACAGAAATTGCAAAGATGTGTGGAGAACAAAACACAGGGATGCTCATCTCGCTGGGAACGAGACCCAGCTCTTGGGGAGAGCATTAGTTGGCGCATACAGCAGGTCCCGAATGTGGGCACCCCGGAGGCGGGGGCCTCTATGGGTTTGAGACCCCTGCTCAGGGCTGGATGGCAGTGCTAGGACCTCTGTGCACTGAGCACGGGCTGTCAGGTTCAAGCAGCACCCCCTGTCTGGTCACAGCCCGCCATTCACACCACTGGAAACCCCCCATTTCCTTTGTCACCAGGCTTGGAGCTCTGTCACCGTCTCTGACCCAGGATGGCCCTCAAACCCACCCCCAGCCCCCTCCACACATCCACACAACTAGGTGACTTCTCACTGTGCTTCAGCCGCACCCACCCCCAAGGGTTCGCTCTGAGCTGAGCTGCTCAGTGTGTTCCAGAAACCATGGCCCCACCATACCCTGGGAGCCAGTTAAAAAAGCCAACTCTCCAGCCCTGCCCAGACCTGCTGGCTCAGAATCCTGGGGGAAGGAAGGGCCAGGGCCAGGCTACCCACAGGCCTTCAGGGATCCTACCCTCTGCAGTTCACGAGCGGCTGCAGACCCACCGCGGGCACAGAGCAGAAGCCTTGCAAGCCGAGTGTTGCCTGGTCATCCCACAGCCCCAAGGGCTGCTCCACTGGGACGGACTCTCCTCTAGAGCCCCGGCTATGCACACGGTGCCGCTGAGCCGTGCCGACCACGGCCACAAGAGGGCACCAGCGGTCACCTGAGGGACACAGTACGCCCTTTTCCACTTCTCTTTCACTGTATACCCTTCCTTGCGGGGGAGCCTACGAAGAGAACTCACAGATCCCAGAGCCTGACTTGCTCGGCTATCCAGGCCCTGGGCCCCAGAGTCCGCACCCCAAAGGGTCCCGCAGTACCCATGGGGCCCCAGGCACCAGTTCACCCATTCCTGAGCTGGGTTTGCTTCTCTGCTCCAGCCCCCGGGCCCGAGGAAGGGCCCCGTCTGAGGACAGAACACTGACCCCTGCTCCTTCTGACTGCTTCCTGCTGGAATGAGACCTGAACTCAGACCTTAGGGGGCCCCTCCTGAGACAGGGCCCCTGGTCACTGCCCACCTGCAGGCAGTCACCGTCCCTCCCTTGCACCTGCCCTCCAGCCTCTGAAGGCTCACATCCTGTCTCTCTCAGGGAAGGCCTGCAAAGCAGCAAATGGTCAGGACCAGGGCCTCCTCTCAGGGATCTGCGACTTCCCACTCCACCCACAGAACGTGCCACGGCCATGCTCGGAGGCCTACCCAGGTCCCCGGATGGCTGGTGACAGCTGTAGGGGGTGGTGAGTGGATTCCTGGTGGTTTCTTGCCAGGCAGACCTCAGAAGCTTCCAGGTCAAAGGGGAGGCGAAGTGTCACCCTTGAGCTCTGTGAGCCCCTCCCCTGTCCAGAGAGGGGGCACCCCAGAGTCCCTCTCCTCACTGGTGGACACGGAGTGCGGTGTGGCACCCTGAGGGCTTCCTTGAGGAGGTGCAGTCTTTGAATCAGCCTGGGGAAAACCTGGGGGCCAATGCCCAGAGGGTGGGGCAGGCAGGCCGGGGCCCCTGGACCAGGCCCCAAGCGTCCCTGCTCCTCTCTCTCTGTGGCTTAGCGGGTCTGGGGGTCGGGACATACACTGAGCGCCCAAGGCTGGGGTTCCTGCTCACAGGTGGGGCTTGGGGTGGTGCAGGCACCCAGGACTGGCCTTGGGCTGGGAGGGGCAGTGGCCTCACCTGGTGGTCCTGAGCAAGTCACTGCCCCTCTGTGGCAAGTGAATCAGTCTCACAACTACAGACCATTTCCTTCACGTTTTCTTTTATCCAGGTGTCTGGCATAGATGAGTTACATTAAATGCATCATGTCCCTGTGCAACCACACAACGCTATGGGAAAGTCATGGAGGTACCTTCTGATGTGCATCCTGCCCTTCTGCATTTTCCAAGGAGCAGCTGGAAGGCCCAGGACCATTGACGCTGAGCAGCAGGTGCCCTGGCAGACCCGTCCTCCAGGGCAGCCCCAGCTCCAAGCCCTCCATCCCCTCTGTGTCGGTCTTGATTGAGCCTCCTTGTCTCCAGACTGACCCCTGAGGGCTTCACCAGTGGACCCCCAGCCCCGTCTGCCTGAGTCTGGACGTGTCCTTCCACCTCCCTGGCCTGGGACGCCCCAGCACAGCTGCCTCCTTCTGGGGAAGAAGGTACTGACAGCCAGGCCTACAAAGGCCAGCTACCCCATGCCTGGTCCCTGTGAAGCCCCAACACTAGGAGGACAGGGCTGCAGATTTCAAGAAATTCTGGGTGGCAGAAGGGACAGAAACAGGTAACTGGCCAATTACCTGCCTAGGAGCTTTCCGGGTGGGGGCTCACAGTGGCCCACTTCCAGACACCCAGCTGGACCTCACAGGGCATATGGGTACTCGGGATATCACCCCTCCGGGCAGTGATGTGACTCCAGCGTTGGGACTGCCTGGCAGAGACTCCAGCTTGGAGAGGGTGGGTGGGGTGGTTCCGGAGGCTGAGAGGTTGGGGCACCTGAGGCCAGAACCCTCAGCCAGGCCAGCGCCCAGATGGCAGCTACCACTCCCCCACCCCACCAGCTGTGGGTGGGGAGGGGCTCACCCAGCAAGGGGAGCCTTCTACAAACGGTGCTGCCCTCTGAGGGCACAAAACAGACAAAAGGGGCCCTTCACCTGCGTGGGCTTACATTCCAGGTTTACAAAAAGTCAGCCTGCCTAATGAAGTGGGGGTAACAGGTTTGAGATTGGAACTGGTGATAGTGGTCCTGGGTTGGGGCAGGGGCAGGCGGCCAGCACATTTACAGCCCCCTCAACATAACTGACACAGAAACTTGCATCTGATGGCCAAAATTGGGCTAAAAGTTCTTTAAATGGCTCATATCCTTCAGTACTTATGGTTTTACAGGTATCATGGCACTACCACTCAAACAGGAGGTCTCCATGAACACAAAAGCTGGTTAACTTAGCTGAGCCACTCAAGGCAGCTAGGATGTGATCCCAGAGGTGTACATAATACATCCCAAGGGGTATGAGTTTGTTAGATGGTTGAACAAAATAACTTTGTGTTTTAAAACAATTTTACATTTGCAGAAAAATTGAGAAGGTGGAGTTTGCACATCACTAACATTGGTGTGATACATTTGTTAGATCAGTGAACCCAGTCTGATACATTGTCTTGAGCTCACATTTCCTTTGTTTGCAGTAATTTTGCAGTGCCCCTCTTGTTCTAAGAACCCATCTGGACACTACGTGACTTTCAGCCAACCCTGTTCCTTTGGCTCTGGCTTTTGGGCCCCTTGACAGCTTTGAGTGTTTGCCATATATTCTGTAGGGTGTTCCTTTACTACTGGAATTTGTGTGTTTTCTCATGACTAGACTGGGGCTTGGGTTGGAAGACTGAGGTATCCTCGTCCCATCCTGCCCAGGTACATGTGGTCAGCCTGCACTTTGCTGTGATGCTGATGTTGGGCCACCTGGCTGAGATGTGTCTATCACGTGTCTCCACTCTACAGTTACTGTTTTTCTCTTCCTTTCACACTGTCCTATGGGAGGAAGCTGCTACACACAGCCCATGCCTAAGGACTGTTTCTCTCCTTGAGGGTGAGGGAATTTATCCAGACAGCTTTTCAATTGTTAAAAAAGTTAAGACTCATAGCTAACATTTACAGAACCTGTCTACAATGGCCATGGAAATAATTCTAGAGTTCTGAGGAACACAGTTTGAAAAGCACTGACCCAAGGATGTGCACAAACTGCTTCTGGGTCCCCATGTGGGTTTAAATGTATTGCGACACACAAAGGTTGAGATTCAGGCATAGACCTGGGTTAGGGTTACTGCTCTGGGGAAGTACAACCCCGCGGTTTGGTGGTGCTGCCTGGCTAACCCCAGGTTTTATGAGACCTGTCTCATATTCGCTTAAACCACACAATTCTTTGCACCACTCATCACACGAAGGGCTGGGTCTGACTAGGAGAAATGCTTTCCGGTGACTGAGTTTCCAGCTCTCCCTGACATCTCTGTGGTTGCCTAGAATCCATTCTCACTTAAGTTTAAAGATGAGCATCTGTCAGGGTAGGGAAGCACCCACCCCCTCCCTCTTCCCTACTGTTCTATATAGGACAGCTGTCCGTTGCTTCACCCACGATGTCTGGCCTTATCCATGAAATCTTGAAAACACAGCATGTTGTACCCATGAGTAAGAAGCTAGGTAAGGGCTTTGAAGGCTGGACATGGGGCCATGAAGGCCACAAGCATGCGCGTCTTCAATGCTTATGCAACCATGAATCAGCACAATAACAGTAAAAATACAGCTTTATGCAGAATAAAGAGGCTTCTTTTGAGCACCCTCCATGACGACTCCCGCTGCCTTCTTTGCTCTGTGTCGCCCCAAGACCTCGACAGTCTGGCATCGCCACAGCACGTTCAAGGCGGGGCACCATCGCCTTCATTCAGTCTGAAGTGGAAGGGAGCACACGGCCCTGCTCAGGTAAAGGCTGGGGCTGGGTCGGTGAGACAGGACCCCGTGACGTCTGCCTGGCGCTCCGTACAAGGCTGTTCATGCCTCCGTCTCTAGTGCAGGCCACCTGCAGTACTGTCATCCTATCTAGCTCTTCAGCTGGCCTGGATCTGCAGTGGCCAAGGTTCACTTCTCACAGAGGGAAACTGAGGCACAGCTGTTTGGTGGCTTCCCATATCTCTTCTGGAGTTTCGACTAGTCATCTGACTGGACTCTGGTTTCCTAGTCCAGCAACTTAAATGTGTTCTATTTACTCAAACATCGGGCATTGCTTGGAATTTTCCTTTTAATGGTTGACAGAGTGTCACTGACAGTGATGAGATGAGGCACCGAGGGGCTGTGGCATTTAGGTGAAGTACTCACTTGGAGAGCGTCGCTGCTCTGCCAGGCCAAGCAGGCTGGGAACACTCACCCAGGTACAGTTACGTTAAAGCAACAAGATTGCAGGAGAGATGCTTTGGATTAATGCCAACTAGTCAGCTTTATCAGCCTCAGCAGAGCCTGATTACACGGAAAGCATTTGATTGTTAATCAAAAGCTTAGGCTCAGCATAAAACTCTTACATTGTTTCCTTATCTGTACAAACAGGTTCAAGTAAAGTTTGGAGTTAGGGAACAATGATTTCATGTGACCTCAGACTCCCACACACACATCAATTCAGAATGAAAGTCACATTCTTTTTTTTCTTTTTAAAGTTCTAAGACTATTTTTTAGGGTAGTTCTATATTCACAGCAAAACTTGAGCAGGAATTACAGCAAATTCGTCTTTAACAACCACTTTAACAACCACTTGTATTTGGAATGGTTGACTCAAATTTTCAAAACCTTAATCATCCTTTCCACTTGAGAAAAGACTTTTTTTTCCTGTCACTGAACCATTCTTCCCTCTCCTTATCTGGGTGTCATTTAAAACTGCATCCTCACCGAATTCTTTTCCTCAAGGAGACCACAGGCGACCTGGCGAGTTGGTCAGAGGAGACCCATCCAGTCTGGGGTCCACACGCTGTCCTGTCAGGAGTGGGTGTGTGTTCCAGGTCTGGGTTTGCCCTTCCTGCCGCAGGGCCTCAGTTTGCCCATCCAGAGCTTCTGCCAGCACGGGATCCCTAACACTCTTTGGTCCAGGGAGCAGCTCTAAGGTAGAGGCACCCGAATGGACCCATGCTGCACAGCCCAATAGCTGCAAACTTGAGGCTGCTGTATTACACCCGGGCTTCCGTTCCGCAGTGTCCTCAGTGGTGAGAACACACAGGTCCAGGAGCCGCCGCGCTCCCAGTGGCTTTCTGCCCTTGCACCTCTGGGCTCCGCGGGCCGGGTCTGCCACCCCACTCCCCCCACGAGCCGCCCTGGCACTCCCTGGGGTTGCGCCCTTCTCCCGCGCTCCCCTCCGGCCGCCCAGGCCCTGGGTCTCTGTGAGGCCCTGCTCTTACCCCCACCGTCTCGGGCGTGGGCATTGGCGCCAGCTGCCCGGAGGCAGGACGGCCGTCTCAGCCGGAAAAGGGCCGGAGTGGAGCACCTCCCGTTCCGGGCGCTCACAGGCCCCTCCGGGAGGTCGGCTGCTCCTCCGGCAGCGCAGCCCCTCCTTCCGGCCGGGGACCAGGGCGCAGCCACACCGCCCACCGGCCCGAAAGAGGGGGCGCGTCACCCCCGGCGGGAGGCCCGCCGGCGGGCGCCAGGAGCGCGCATGTGCGGGGGCAGCAGTGCTGCCCTCTGATTGGCCTCGGGGCCGACGTGTCTGCGCGACAGCGGCGGGGGCGAACGAACCCGGACGTCGGGACGGGGGTGCGCGCAGGGCGGAGCTCCTGCCAGCTCCATTAGCTCCCGGGTGCCCGCGAGGAGCCCGGGGAGGAAACGGGGGATGAGCGGGAACGGCGGCGCAGAAAGGTGGAGGCCGGGGAGCGGAGACAGACGGCAGCGGCTTCGGCCCTCTGCGCCGGCGTGGACTCGTAAGTGCGGCTCAGCACGTGCCAGCAACCCCGCCGGGTGCGGGCGCGGTCGGACGCGCGCCGAAGCCCCGTCCTTTCCCCTGACTCGGTTGGGAACCGCCCCCCTGACGTCGCCATTTTGAATCCACCGCCCTTGACCCGGGTCCGCTCCCGCTGGGCCGCAGCCAATCAGCGGCGAGGGACGCGCGGGGCACGCCGGGGCGTGCAGGCGGGGTCCCTGCCCGGCACTCCGGGACCCGAGCGCCCTGACGGGCAGTAAGGCGCAGGAGGGTCCCGTCCGGCAGAGTCCCGGGCAGGCCGCGGGGTCGTCCTCGTGGGCGGCAGGCACGTCGCCCACCTGCGCACGCCGGTGCTCACCTACGCCCATCTGCACCTGTGCGCTCCATCTCGTCGGAGCCCAGGATTCCTGGAGGTCTTCCTGTGACTGCCCTGCAGCCCTCGGCGGTGCAGTCGCGCCACCTGAGGCTCAACTCCGCTAACGTGCATTCAAAACTGCACGCAGATGTTCATCGTACTTGGAATTGTGCGGGGTTTTGTTTAATGGAAAAAGCCTCCGAAGGTGTTCTAGGAGCACGTGACTTGTTCACATCGCACGGACCTTCCGAGGACCTACTGACTAATACACCCCGGGTCCCGCTGTTACTCCCCTGGGCGGGGGGGTGGCCTGGTGAACTCGCTGTGTCCCTGGAGTGATGGGTCTGCAGGGACGCTTTCATCTCCCTTCTGCGCTAGTTCTCACTAAACGCTGCCTGGTACTGTTTTGGGGGCATTTTGTGGGGTTTAAGCCATATGTTGAAGAGGCCCGGGCTCTAGAAGCAGAGGGGAGAAAGCGTGGCCGCTTTGGCTGGGACTCCGTGCCCTCCCTCTTCCCTGCCCCAAACCTGTGGGTAGTTACCCGCTCTTCCCAGGAGTGAACTAGTGTCTCAGTAGTCCCAACCAGCATCAGGAGGAGCACGTGGGTTGCTGTGTTTGGGGTCGGACATGGTTAAACACTAGAAATTTCATACGGACCAACTGGTAGGTAGGAGGGCCGGTGCTACTTCATTCCTTTGAGGGAACCACAGTGCCGGTGCTTAACGAGACCATTCAGAACACATAGTGACTGGCGTGAGGCCACGACTGGTGCCCCGGTGACAGGCAGAGAACAGTGGCCTTGTTCAGTCTTCCTGTGAAGGTGAAACTTATGACGGGTTTGAAGAGGAAGATGTGTGTGTTTTTTTTTGCTCCCTGAGTGTGTGCCTGGTGCTTTCACAGACCAGGAGATGGAAGAGCCTGAGTGGAATATTTACTGTGCGTTCACCAAACTTGCTGTGGTCTGTAAATGTGTGTAGGTGCACCATAGGCACTGAGGGGGGAGGAAGATCAGCTTCATTGCAAGAAGACCCTCTTGTTGGGTGGCCCAAGGCCAGAGAGAGGATGGTGGGGGGCTCACAGGGTCGGCTTGGGTGTTGTAGGGGTCAGATGGGGAAGACAGGCTGGCTTTGGGGGCAGGGTCGGTCCTCGAGACTGTTTTCTCACTAAAATGGTCTGAATTTTCCTGTGTTCATGAAATTGTGAGCCTGTTATCATTTGGAAAAATGTTTCACATTTACTTTTATGACCACAGCTGCCATTTCATGGGACACATGTCCCACTGGGCAAAGCTGATGTTAACCTCATACCTTCTGAATAAGGTATTAGTGGGAGATGGTGTATGAACAGGTCCAAAGACCCTCAGATTTAAGGGACTGAAAAGAGCTAGGTTGTGCCTTCTGATGAGCACCGTTCTGTGGAGGCCCCTGGTGATTTGGGGAGCTGTGTCATGAAAAAATAGAACGTCTGATTCCGTAAGGGAAGATGTTAGATTGACCTGGCTTAATTAAATTTTTGCTATTTCTGTACCTTGTTTCAGAATCTTTAGCTAGGAAGTTTTGAGTAGGCTATATATTTCCTTAATCGGGGGAAATTGGGGACAAAAAAGAGACTTAGCTTTTGTATAGTTTTAAATCAAACATGTCCTGATTAAGATACCAGATTTTTAAATAAAATTAAAAATTTTTTTATTTTTTGAAAATTGCCAGGGGTAGAAAAGCTGTTCTGCCCCTTGGCCCTATTGCCTTGTATACAGGCATAAATAAGAGTTCTCATTGTCAGACTCTTCAGATACAACTCTGAACTTAAATGCTCAGTCACAGACACTGGTGAAGGCAGCGTTTGTGGGGCGGGAGCTGTGGGTTGCTGTGAGCCTGGCCTCGCTGGCAGAGTTAGCCCCAGAGACTCATGTTCCCCACGAGCTTGGTGGCCGTGTGGCTCTGCTGCTTTTTTCTCATTTACCTTTGCCTCTACTACTTCTCTACGTTTCTGCGCAGCTTGCTCACTTCCGACAGAGGAAAACAAAAGGTGACTGTGCGCATTCGAAGAAAGAGACGGCGAAGAGGCCGGGCCCGGCTGTCCATGCGACTGTCTGTACGGCCGGCCAGGAGGCGAGTCCGGTAGCTGCTGAGGACAGCGGACTTCTGGGGAGAGGGGACATTTGCAGAAGCCCGTCATGCAGCCACACCCCCAGTGAGGCAGGAGCGGCTCAGGTACATTTATTTCTGTTCTAACATTTTCCTTACCATCCAGTTAGTGTTAGCATAATTTACTAAAAGTGGTCTTTGGTCTACTTTTGCCTTCAAAAGTGGGGAGAGAGGGTTTTATTTTAGTTTACAAAAAGGGAGCCTGTTTTTGTGGTTTTACTCCTAGTCAGTGTTTTTTATATGCTGCTGAGAAATTGTAGATCACCTGCAGGAGTCAGCATTGTGCTTGCTCTGGTGATAGACGTTCCAGAGCCCGCGTTCCTCCACCAGGCTGCGCGTCAGCCTCTCCAACAGGTGCTTCTTTGCACACTTAGACTGCGATGCTTCTTCATCCACTCTCAGATCCGCCTCCTTGTCATTCTCACCCTTCATCTTCTTTCTGAAGGAGGGGTGAGGAGGGGAGGGCTGAAGATGCCACAGAGATGGAGTCTTAGAGGAGGTGCCACCATCTGCTGCTCGAGGCTCTGGGTGCTGCAGGGGTCAGGGTGGCGGGTGAGTGGACGTGGGCTTTGAGCGTGCTGGTCCTCGCAGCCTCCCTGGAGCTCGCGAGTGAACGTGGGTGGGCCTCCTCTTGGGGCTGTTTCTTGTTCTATAAAGGTGGGCCCTGGCCTGTGAGAGCACCCCTCGCTGAGTGCAACAGGGTGGTGCATGTTCAGGTGTTTGCTAGAAGGAGCTGGCATGCTGGTGGCTGAGGGCAGAAGTCAGCTCAGAACCAGGATGTACCTGGCCTGCCTTCCTGAGAAAAGGGGCATTGTCGTTAGCATGTGAAGTTTATGATTTTCTTCTTACTAGTCTGGAATTTTGCTCCTTTTGAAAAACTAAGACTGAGCCCTGGTGTCCCCATGCTGTCCTGGGACATTCCAGCTGACTGGGACTCAGGGGCACCCAGCCTGCGAGGGGCGCAGTTCTCAGCAGTGTGTCTCCGTCACAGCTGAGAAAATGGCAGCTACTTTGAGGGTCAAATATTACCTCCTGGGGTCGCTTCTCTGTATGTTCCTCCTTGGCTCCTTGAAGAGAAAAGCTCGTATTATATAATTAGAAGTCATTAGTCTGTATTTTAATTTTTAAGTCAGAGACGTCTTTTTTTATTTCAAGTTAAAAGTTTTATGTTTTAGCTTTTCATTTTGAAATGTTAGATCTATAAAATTTTGCACAGCCTTGCAGAGTTCTGATGCCGTTCCCCTGGCTTCCCGAAGGTCCCCGCCTCGTGCTGTCACAGTAGTCGTCCTAGCTGCTCTTTCTCGGTCCAGATGGAAACCGAGCCCTTTGATAGACCTGCTTGACGCCCCCGTCCCCCTGATGTGCTTCCTCCCGTCCAGCCCTTGGTATGCCTTTTGCTGCCATGGCACCTTGTCTCCTCCGTCTGAAACGGTTGCTGGGTCTTCCTTCCTCTTCTACAAGTTTGGGGCTTGAAGATTACTGGCTGCTTTGTGACCCTGTCGGTGTGGGTTTGTTAGACGTGCCCTCCAGGTTAAAATCAGGTGGTGCGCTGTGGCGAGAGCCGCTGGGGAGAGTGGGGCCCCGCGGGGGGTGCGCGGGGTGCTCAGGGCTCCGCGCTGTCACCCTGATATGCTGCCACGTGGATCATCTAGTTACGGGGCTGTTGGTTCCTCCTGGTGGGAAAGTCACTGCTTTCCCCTCCGCAGTTAGTGAGCACGTCGCACCAAGGTGCTTGAAGGCCTGTGACTTGCGAGCGTGCTGCTCCTCACCCGGCGCGGGTCCAGCCGCTGCTGCCGTCCCTGCTGGCAGCGATGGCGGGGTGGCGACACCAGGTGAGGGCTTATTTCCTCCACCCGTCTAGTGGGTAATGGGCATTCTTCCCCACGGAGGAACTGTTGCTTCTCCCCAATTTATTCATTCATTCAATTATATCAGTGTGGGTGCATGGATATTGATTATAATCCATCATATTAGATGAATCAGTGTTTACTCTGTGCTGAAATACGTAGGCCTTTGGGAGTGCTTTGGCGTCCGAGTCCTTCCAACATGCCCTCGTTTCCAGCACCTCACATCTGCACTGTCTGGTACCAGGATGTCCCAGGCTTATTTTTCCTTTCCCTGACACAGCCCTGTTAGCAGCCGTTCCTCCCTGGAGCCCTGGTCCCTCTTAGTGGAGAGTGGTAGCTAGAGACCCAGGTCTGTGTGCTGTGGCTAGTGGGGAATCTGCTTCTAGGCTCCAACAGAATTAAGAAGTGTAAATATATGTCTCTACACACATCTGTATCTATTTTTGTCTATTGGTGTGTAAATAAATACCATTAGTTCTCACTAATACTTCGATTCCAATCCAGCACCTTAGAATTTAATTCCTTTTTCCAATAGTGAAGAACCTGGCTAATTTATAAATTATTTGCTCAAATACACACATACTAGTTTCAAAACTGCTAGCCCTCACCCCTGTGACAAATTTACTACCTGGAGTAGAATACCTGTATATGGTTCTTCTTGTCTTTATTGTCCGAAAGTTTATTGTTGATTGTTCCAAAATTATTTAGGTTACTTCCTTTATTTCTTACTTCTTAATTGTGGTTCTTTTTTTTTTTTTTTTTAACAATTTTGTGTTTTTATTAGATGAAATTTGATGCAGGTAATTTTTGTATCATTGATATACAATCTTATGAAGGTTTCACATGAACAACATTGTGGTTTCAACATTCACTCATATTATCAAGTCCTCAGCTCCACCCTCCCCGACCCCATTGCAGTCACTGTCCTTCAGCGTAGTAAGATGCTATAGAGTCATTACTTGTCTTCTCCATGCTGGACTGCCTTCCCTATGACCTACCTATATTGTGATTGCAAATTATAGTGTCCCCTAATCTTCTTCCTTCCCAGATGCCCTCCCCTCCCCTTCCCTTTGGTAACTGCTAGTTCCTTCTTGGAGTCTGTGAGTCTGCTGCTGTTTTGTTCCTTCAGTTTTGCTTTGTTGTTATACTCCATGAATGAGGGAAATCATTTGGCAGTTATCTTTCTCTGCTTGGCTTATTTCACTGAGCATAATACCGTTCAGCTCCATCAATGTTGTTGCAAATGATAGGCTATTTTTTTCTTCTTATGGCTGAATAATATTCCATTGTTCAGTGAATAATGTTCCAGTGTTCAAGTTCCACACTTCTTTATCCATTCATCTGCTGATGGACACTTAGGTTGCGTCCATATCTTGGCTGTTGTAAATAGTGCTGCGATAAACATATGGGTGCATATGTCTTTTTGAATTTGGGATATTGTTTTCTTCCAGGAAAATCCTAGGAGTGGAATTCCTGAGTCAAAAGGTTTTCTATTTTTGTTTTTTTGAGGAACCTCCATATTGCTTTCCACAATGGTTGAACTAACTTACATTCCCACCAGCAGTGTAGGAAGGTTGCCCTTTCTCTGCATCCTCGCCAGTGGATTTCTTGTCTTTTGGATGTTGGCCATCCTAGCTGGAGTGAGGTGGAGTGAGGATATCTCACTGTGGTTTCAATTTGCATTTCCCTGGTGATTAACGATGTAGGCATCTTTTCATGGGCCTGTTGTCCATTAGAATTTCTTTTTTGGACAAGTTTCTATTCAGATCCTCTACCCATTTTTACTCGGGTTATTTGATTTTTAGGTGTTGAGGCATGTGATCTCTGTATATTTTGGATGTTAACCCCTTGTCAGATATGTTGTTTACAAATATGTTCTCCCATACTGTAGGATGCCTTTTTCTCCTGCTGATGGTGTCCTTTGCTATACAGAAGCTTTTTAGCTTGATGTGGTCCCATTTGTTCATTTTTTATTTTGTTTCCCTTGCCCGAGGAGATTTTCTGGAAAAAGTTACTCATGTTTATATTCAAGATATTTTTGCCTATGTTTTCTTCTATGAGTTATATGGTTTCATGACTTACATTCAGGTCTTTGATCCATTTTGAGTTTACTTTTGTGTATGGAGTTAGACAGTAATCCATTTTCAGTCTTTTCAATATAGTTATCCAGCTTTGCCAACACCATTTTTTGAAGAGGCTGTCATTTCCCCATTGTATGTTCATGGCTACTTTGTTGTATATTAATTGGCCATATATGCTTGGGTTTATATCTGGGCTTTCTATTCTGTTCCATTGATCTGTGGGTCTGTTCTTGTGCCAGTACCAAATTGTTTTGATTACTGTGGCTTTGTAGTAGAGCTTGAAGTCAGGGAGCATAATCCCCCCAGCTTTATTTACCTTCTCAGGATTGATTTGGGTATTTGAGGTCTTTTATGGTTCCATGTGAACTTTAGAACTATTTGCTCTAGTTCGTTGAAGACTGCTATTGGTATTTTGACAGGGATTGCATTGAATCTGTAGATTGCTTTAGTCAGGATGGTCATTTTGACAATAGTATTTCTTCCTATCTGTGAGCATGGGATGTATTTCCATTTATTGGTGTCTTCTTTAATTTCTCTCATGAGTGTCTTGTAGTTTTCAGAGTATAGGTCTTTCACCATCTTGGTTAGGTTTATTCCTAGGTATTTTATTCTTTTTGATGCAACTGTAAATAGAGTTGTTTTCCTGATTTCTCTTTCTGCTAGTTCATTTTTAATATATAGGAATGCAACAGATTTATGTGTATTAATTTTGTATCCTGCAACTTTGCTGAATTCAGTTATTAGTTCTAGTAGTTTTGGGGTGGATTCTTTAGGTTTTCTATGTACAATATCATGTCATCTGCAAGCAGTAACAGTTTAACTTCTTCCTTACCAATTTATTGGTAAGGTGCCTTTTATTTCTTTGTGTTGTCTGATTGTCATGGCTAGGACCTCCAGAACTATGTTGAATAAAAGTGGGGAGAGTGGGCATCCTTGTCTTGTTCCTGATCTTGGAGGAAAAGTTTTAAGCTTTTTGCTGTTAAGTATGATGTTGGCTGTGGGTTTGTCATATCTGGCCTTTATTATGTTTAGGTGCTTGTCCTCCATGCTCATTTTATTGAGAGTTTTTATTATGAATGGATGTTGAATTTTGTCAAACGCTTTTTCAGCATCTATGGAGAGGATCATGTGGTTTTTG